AGAATTAATATATTTTTGTGTTTGAAATGGTTGAACAAAATTATATGAACGTAAACATTAGCGTTTCTTTGAAAACAATAACAAGAAAAATATTTTCCAAGGATGCTTGCATCGAGTATAACGGCACCTTTGCCACTCTCAATATGGCGGACGCGATGACGTATTGTGTCCACTGGACAACGAAGCCAATGTGGCGTCTGGCTCGTTTGAGGGCTTCGCTGTATATTCTGGGAATGGGGGCTGGCTTGACCGCGGCGAATGGGCCCGAAGTCGCATTTACCTGATTAAATGAAGCTGTGGAAGTGTCGACTTTAAACTAAACCCACCATATTAGCTCAAATTCTCATAAAAGCCGAAAAAAATTAGCGCCGCTGTGTTTTTTCCACATCTATCGGTGTGAAGTCCAGCAGTCTGAGCTTACCATCGACCTCCTCTTCGGACTTGACGATGATTTCTTTAAACTCAGGAAATGTTTCTTCAGCGGGAGTTTCATGCTCCGTACTTGGCGCTCTCTGAGGCTGAACTGAAGACATTTTTACTGCAAACGGTGAAATGCTCTGCCTAACAGAACAGATGGAGTCTCCTGACAGTCTCGGATGCAAAGCTAACGCTGTCAGGCTCTGTTTGGATCTCCCGTGCTTCTCCCTGTGACGCTCTGGGAGAAACTGTGAACTAACTTTAGTTCCGCTTTAATTTGAACTTAAAATTAACAATACTGGAAATGGAGTAAGTATAACAAAATGTTTTGGTAAAATTAAGGTGAAGCTAGCATGACGTTTTCAGCATGCTGCTGTAAATATGGGTATTGCAGTTTTGGATTATTATCACAAACGGCCTCCTTGTCTCAGCTCTAACCATCAGCTTTGGTGTGGCATTTTTGGATTTCTATAGATTCTTTTTTTACACATTTGATAAACATTTTTTGAAAATCTAAAATCAAAAGGTCTCCAATACAAAAAACGTTGATTCTAATAAAAGTAAATGATGTGAATTTTGACCACTGGACCGTGTGTATATGTAACTTTTATGGATGCCACAGCCAAGATACCTGAATTTCACACAGGATTAGTAAAGAACCATCTTATCATTGAAGTATCATGAAAGAGTTGTTGTTCATGGTGATGCTGTGGGCAGAAGATCTCTGGTAACAGTCAGTCTGACAAGGACTCTGAAGAGGCCTCTGACTGAAGACTTTAACATGCTAACGGCTCAATATTCAGGCCGCAGAGACGATATTCCAAAGTAACGTGTCGTTCAAAACACAGTTGTTGAAAAACACTTTTAATCCATCATGTTTGCTTTTGCAGCTCTGATTTAAATCGCTTTCTTTGAGCTTTTGAGATGCTAATCAGCTGCTTGCAGTTGTGAAAACAAAACCATGTTACCACGGTTATGCATCATAACTGTCTAGAAGTAAAAATGTCAAAGCAAAAACCCCTCCAGCAGCACTGTAAAACATTTGAAGTTGGTTTAACTTGAAAATGAAATTCCACCTGCTCCCTTAAAAATGCAATTTAAGTCAACAAGAAGATTGTTTTGGTTTTAACTCAGAAATTAAAGTTCATGACGTTGATTTAACAAGAGACAAGTTATCTAAACTTTAAGTTCATTAACCTTGAACTGTGAGTTTTAAAGAGCCACATTTCTCTTATTTTACTCACAATATCAAGTTAAAATAAATACTTATTTTACTTTAATTTAAATTCTTGTTTCAAATTGTATGAACAAAATTTCTGATCTAAAAATAAATTTTTATATTCTTTGCAGAAACATTTAGTGTGAACAGGACATTAAAATAAACATTTGCCTTAGTAAAACACCAGAGTCAGATCAATGTAACACACTTCCATCTCAGATACAAAAACATGCCGCTAAGCATTCTGGGAAATAGTTCCCACTCCTGTCGTTTTCTTCTTTCAGTTTTAAGTGCTGTCCTAAAAACTCCAGTTTATTCAATTTTTGGAGGTTTGACAAAATTAATGAAAAAACTTAACACAACTTACTGCTGTAAGTTTTTCACAAACTCACATTTAGGTTCAGAATCTAAACTGGCAAAATTTATTTGATTTAAAGAGTAGAAAACGGTAGACACAACTAAATGTGACCCAAATGTTTTACAGTGGGCACAGCATCCAAATGCATAGAGAATAATAGCACTGAAGCCACCATGTTTTTTTTTTTTTTTTTTTGTCAATGTACATTTATTAAACTTTACACAGAAAATAAACACTCAAAACAGGACATGGGGAAAAAACAACACAAAGCCCCCATGGGGTTTTACAGTGACTATCCAAAGAGCAAATGGATAGAGGGCGCCATGTTAAGTCAAAGTGTATCTAATTCTTTCATTTTTTAAAAAATCATAACATCACAGATCCATCTGTGGAGATGTGACTTTTCTAGTTCAGGAGAATGAGCCGATGGGCAAGAAGGGAGGAGCAGGACATGCAGTTCAATGGCGGCTTTGTGAGAGAAACATCTTTTTTTTGATGCACCAAAGAAAGAAATGGATGAACGGTGACTCTAAAAACTCCTGAATAAGCTTCAAAAATTGAAGACCAGAATGCTGTTAGGCCAGGACACGACAAAAACGTGGCAGAGAGAGTAAAGTTTACTCCCGTCACAAATGGGGTTAAAGTGGGAAAATATTTTTAACAGTATGGAGCCTTTATACCATCTTAAATTTAGTAGGTACACATAAATGGAGGCAGATTGGATTCGTTGTTCTTCAGCGATGTTTGGTCTAATGGTCTCTTATTGTTGACGACAGGAATCCTCCATTGCAGATATTGTAGCTGTTTCACTGTGGGGCCTTTCCCCTGTTTCTCCAGACATAAACAATGCATTTATGGCCGGTGAGATTTAATTTTATCTCGTCCGACCAAAGGGTGTGCTTCCAGGCAGCAGAGCATTTCCCCAGGCTGTTGGCATACTTCAGTCTGGCATGACTTCCCTGCAGAAATGGAGTGTTTCTCTAGTTTGGTTTGGGTTTAAAGATTTAATAAGAGGCGTTTGAAGGGAGAGATGGATGGATTATTCGCTTGGATTAATATCACTTGGGAAATGGCTTTGACAAAATGTTATGTTCACAACTGGGCTATTGTTAATTTTATCAAACTGTTAAAGACTGTTTGCAAAATCAGAACTATGAATGACAGTTTTGAGATTGTTTTTCCATCTTTGGTGTCATTTAATGTTACCTTTATAAGAAAAAATGGCCAACATTGACTACATCTAACTTAATGAAGTGCGATTCATATACTTTCATTGACAACTCTAACATAACTGTTGTGCAGATGGAAAATAAGAAGCAAACTCTTACAGCGATGTGAAAAAGCAGCAGATTTCTTCTTTTTCCTCTTTGTTAGGCTTTAATATTTACTGTTACAAAAGTCGTCTGGACTGGAGTAATTTTTATAACTACATGGTATTTATGTTGAAATTTTGCCCTTACTGTGAAGTATTTTTCATTCCTTATTATGTTTTGTATATGTTTTTATATTCAATTGTTGTGTGAGCCTGTGAATTTGTAGATGTTGCACAGAAATATCCCCTTTGTGGAACAGCAAAGAATATTTCTATTCTAAGATTCTAACAAAATTTGAATGTGGGACCAAGATAAAAAAAGTTCTTAGTTGATGATTTCCTTTAGTAAGAGTATTTAACCAACATAGGACTTTAGAAAGTCTGCTAATCCACTACAAGCGGAACTAATTTTTAGCGCAGTCATTTAGCGTTTTTACTCATTTTTAAAACATTTAGCATACTTGGCTTCCACTACATCAAATTTTCCATCTAAATTTCAAAGCGATAATTTACTTGGCTTTCTTATAAACTTTTAGTTTAATAAAGTTTGAGAACTTATTTTGAAGTGTTAGAAGACTCTTTATGCAGCAGTTTTGTTAATTTATTAATTGTTTGAGTCTTTTTATTGGTACTCATCCTGTTCTCCACCTGT